TCCCCCACTGTTCCCCTCATCTCTCTGCTCCCCCACTGTTCCCCTCAGCTCTTGTGCTCTTCTTGCTGTTCCCCTCGGCTTTCCACTCTCTTAACCTCTTTGCTTGCCAACCTGGTCACCCCTTGGTGGAAAGCCATGAAGTGAATGTGGATACATTAGCAGACACAACACCAGTTGTATCCCCAATGGAAGAGTCTGTAATGGTATTAAATTTTCTGGACATACTCCCAGTCACAGCTAACAATATCAGACTTTGGACATAGAAGGATTCAGTCCTTTCAAATCTGAAACAACTGGTGGTAATGGGAGAAACCAATGGACCATCACAGCTAGAACTGAAACATTTTCAGACCCAGAGAGGCCAGTTGCCAGTACAGGAAGGTATATTGTTATAGGGAGCAAGAGTGATTGCCCCAAGCAAACGTTGCTGCTGAACACTGGCTGAAATTTACCAGGGCATTGAGGAAGCTCCAAAATAAAGATGTTGGCAAAAAGCTATGTCTGGTGGCCAGGCTTGGATGCTGATATGGCTGTGTTGATGGGGCAGTGCCCTAAGTTCCAACATGGACAAAAATTATTGTCAGCAGCTCCCCAATATCCATGGGAATGGTCAGGTAGACTCGGTTGCATGTTGATTATGGAAGTCTTTTCATGGGCTCAATGTTCTCAGACATTGTAGATGCCCACTCAAAGTTGTTGGACATGCATAGAGTCCATTTGTCAAACACAGAGACAATGATAGAAAAATTGCACACTCTTTTTCAATAAACAGAGTCCTGGAAGCGTTAGGTGCAGAAACCATGCCATCACTTGCCAATGGGGAGTTTGGGTATTTCCTAAAGATGAACAGGACTCGACATATAAGGACAGTTCCATATCACCCATCATCCAATAGTCTGGAAGAAAGAACAGTCTAAACTTTGAAGGCTGGTTTGAAGAAACAGGCTTGCTAGACACCATGCTGTCATGGTTCCTATTTGATTATTGGAACAAACTGTATCCAGCTACAGGGATAGCACCAGTAGAGTTGTTAATGGGGAGAAGACTCAACACCAGGATCTTCCTGGACCTGGGGGTCAAGGATGAAATAGTATCAGGAACGCCAATGCCTGACACAAGACTCTACCAAGTGAGAGAGACAGTTTGACACAGGGGTCCAAGTTTGATGCATGAATCATGGAAATGGCCCTGCATGGGTAGGAGGTATGGTCAAGGTGAGATCAAGTCCAGTGATGTATCAAATTCAGGGAGTCATGACAGTCCTTGGACTGTATGAAAACCGCAAATTTGCAAACAGTGTGGGAAAAAAATGTGCCAGCCCTTTGGAAAAGTAGGAAAGACTGCCAGAACCCATGTGTTTATCCTCTCCATCAAGCATTGATGAGTCCTCTGAATCAGAGATGGACACAACAGATATAGCTGCATGATGCCTTTGTCACCGGAATAAGGAACTGAAATTCTATCAAAGCATTCCTGGTGCAAGAGGTGAGCTCCCGTGTGTAACACAATGCTCATATTGGGCACCGAGTCTAAGGAACCTGACTGAGTGCTAAAATACCCCAGCAGGTTCTCGAAGAGAAAGGGTCAACCTGTGTCCTTGGACTCAGAGGGGGAGGGATGCAGTGATTGTAATGAGGTCAGCCAGCTGGACTTCACAAAGTGTGAATTCCCTGATTGGGGCTGTTGTTCTGGTACAATCAGGGAGCCCTGGCTGACAGATATAAACAGGAGTGTCAAAGGTTCTGTTTGCTCTGAGGGAGCTGGATCAGTATCAAAGACTTGCCACATGTAAATAAGGGGTGGCTTGGTGACTTCAGATACTCAACAGGCCAAATAGCCCCTGTGGAGGGAAACAGGGTGAATATTTTAGTTCAATGATTTTCACTAGAAAATTAAATCATTAAAGGTTCAGAGAATTAGTTACACCCTCACTATACACTGTCTACAGATTGAAAAATGTGTGAGCAGCTTCTTACCAGGTATGACCTGCAGCCGTGTCTCTTTCTGGATCAGATACTGAAAATCGGGTTCTGATCTGTATTCCACCTGACACAGGTAAGTGTGATTGTCACTCACTCTCAGCTGGTTTATCCTGGTTGAGGCATTTCCCTCCTCTGGGTTCCCAATGAGCTCATATTGATTTCCACCGTTTACAGTTGTCCAATTTCCCTGTGATTGGGCTGTAAATGTAACGATGTGTTGGTAGGGCTCCTTCCTCATCCAGGTAACAGTGTTCAGGGGGTAATTGTTCTTGGTCTTGAAGATACAGGGTAAAGTGACTGACTCTCCCTCTGTCCCATTCACCACTGAAACTTGTCCCTGAGCAGCTGAGGAAAGGGCAAATATCAGAATGAATAAAGTCAGTGTGCTGAAGTTCTTGATTCAATTTGTTACATTTCTTTGAAATTCACAATAAAACAAGCAGTTAAGAAGGCCTTCTCGTGGTGCAGTAGTAGTGTCCCGACCCCTGGACTGGGAAGACTGGATTCAAGTCGCACCTGCTCCAGGTGTTATGGAAGGGTATAGAATACCTGTAGTGTTAAAGAGGCCATTCGGCTCATTGAGTCTGCACTAACCCTCCAAAGAGCATCCCACTCAGATCCAGCACCCCACCTAATCCTAATAACCTCACACTTACCATGGCTAATCCACCTAGTCTGCATTTTGGACTTGGGAGGCAACCTGACCACCCAGCAGAAACCCATGCTAATATGAGGAGAACATGCAAACTCCAGAAAGTCACAGTAAGGCAACATTAATTTGTTTTCAAATTGAGTAGTAGAAAACACCACTAATATTTCTTACAGGTCTTAGACAAATAGAAAATAGAGCAGAAGTAGGCTATTCTTCCCTTCGAGCCTGCATTGCCCTCAAACACTTTCTCTGGCAGAGAATTCCACAGGCTCAGCACTCTCTGGGTGAAGATATTTCTCCTTGAGTCAGTCATAAATGGCCTATCCTGCATACTTAGATAGTGACTCCTGGTTCTGGACTCCCCAGCCATTGGGAATATTTTTCTGCATTCACCCTGCCTACTCCTGTTAAAATTTTGCAGGTTTTTATGAAACCTCCCCTAACCTTCTAAAATCTAGTGAATAGAGTCCTAATCAATCCAGTCTCTCTTTAAATGTCAGTCCTGTCAGTCCAGGAATCACTGTGGTAAACCAATGTTACACTCGCTCCGTAATCAGAATATCCTTCCTCAGATAAGGACACCAAACTGTACTCAATACTGTCGGTTCTGTTACAACACGTGCTCCAGGAAAGCGAATTGACTATAATACGATTGACGAATAGGGGAATGCTATTTCTAAAACATGAACTTGTGTTGGCTATAAAGCGATTCCATCGGTGCGTAGAGGAGTATGCGTTGACATCACATGATCATTTCGCAGGCTTTGTCCTGAATACGTGCAATGTTAGCGCCAAAAGAGTCTCCGTGCTGAGGCTCAGAGCATCCCACACAGACCCATCCCCCTATAACCCACCTAATCTACACATCTATGGGCAATTTAGTCACGGCCAATCCAACCCGCCTGCACATCTTTGGACTTTGAGAGGAAACCAGAGCATCTGGCGGAAACCCACACAGACACAGGGAGAATGTGCAAACTCCACACAGATAGTCACCAAAGGGTGGAATCAAACTCAGGTCCCTGGTGCTGTGAGGCAGCAGTGCTAACCACTGTGCCACCCCAAAGACATCTTGACATTTTTTTCAAAGTAAGGTATTAATTTTACTTTTATTTCATTATTAAATATGAATTAGACATTTATTCAAACTGTACTATCTTTTGTGTTAAGCTATTGAGTGATTTTGAGTGATATTTTTGGTGATCTGCCCCAAACCCGCTTTTCCCATAGGCCCTGTTATTTCTGTAGCATGATTTTCTATAACGCAATGTTGCACAGGTGACTAATCTACAAGGACACCCAGGTCTCATCGCACTTCTACCTTCCCAATCTATCACCATTCGCATAATCTGCCTTCCTGTTTTGCAACCAAAGTGGATAACCACACATTTATCCACATGGTAGGTCAGCTGCCACACATTTGCCCAGTCATTCTACTTATTTAAATCACACTCAAACATCTTTGCATTCTCTTCACAGTTCACCCTCCCACCCAGCATTGTGTTGTCAGCAAACTTGGAGACATGGCATGTAGTTTCCTGATCTAAATCACTCATATATATTGTGAAGAGCTGGGGTCCATCCTGAAATAACTCTAGAGATACCTGTATCCCATCACCAAGCCACCCTTTATTTACACGTGGAGAGTCCTTGATACTGCTCCAGCTTAGTCAGAGCCAGCTCTCAGAGTGAACAGACCCTCTGACACTCCTGTTTATATTTGTCAGCCAGGGCTATCCTGATTGGACCAGGTTACTAGCCCCAGTCAGGGAACTCATATTCTATGAGCTCTATCTGGCTGACCTCCTTATTATCACTGCAAATACATTGTTCCCTGTGGTGCCCAACTAGTCACTAGCTGCCATTCAGAAAAAGGCCAATGTAATCCTACTCTTTGTTTCCTATCTGCCAGAGGAAGTGATGGCCTAATAGTATTATTGCTAGGCCATTAACCCTGAAACCCAGGTAATGTTCTGGGAACCGAGGTTTGATTCCTGCCACAGGCTAATGGTGATATTTTGATTCAATAAAAATCTGGAATTAAAAGTCCAATGATGACCATGAAGCCATTTCTGCATACAAATTAGCTGCCATATTTATTGCATTACAAGTTGAAAACTGTTTTGTTGCTTATAAAGTGCTGAGATTGTGTAAGTTATTTGTTAGAAAATTCAATCATAGCATGTGGCATCATTTGTTAGGGTAGGATATAATGTTCACCTAAACAGCTAAGTAGCAGTTCAGAGGAGTTAGAAATTAACCACACTGCTGTGGGTCTGGAGTCATAGGTAGGCTACAGAAGGCAAGGCTGGGGGATTTCCTTCCCTAAGGGACATCAGTGAACCAGATGGGTTTTTATGACATCGATAATAATTTCACAGTCACTATCATTTGATTTATTGATTTGATTTGTTGTTGTCACATGTACCAAGATACAGTGAAAAGCGATGTTTTGTGTGCTCTACAGGTAGACCGAACCATACAAGGTACATCAGGGTCACAGAACAACGTGCAGAATACAGTGTTACAGCACAAAGAAGGTGCAGAGAGAGACCGATCAACAGTAACATAGAACATAGAACAGTACAGGGGAGGTAATGGCCCAGTGGTATTATCGCTGGACTGTTAATCCACAAACCTAGATAACATTCTGGGGACCTGGGTTTGAATCCCACCATAGCAGATGGTGGAATTTGAATTCAATAAAAATATCTGAAATTACGAATCTAATGATGACGATGAAGCCATTGCTGATTGTCGGGAAAAACCCATCTGGTTCATTAATGTCCTTTAGGGAAGGAAACTGCCATCCTTACCTGGTCTGGCCTACATGTGACTCCAGACACACAGCAATGTGGTTGACTCTGAACTGCCTGCTGGGCAATTCGGGATGGACAATAAATGCTGGCTAGCCAGTGACGTCCTCATCCTGTTAAAAAATAAAAGAAAAACACAATACAGGCCCTTCAGCCCACGATGTTGTGCAGACCTATTACCCTACTAAGACCAATCGACCCTGCATACCTACATTTTACTATCGTCTATGTGCCTATCCAAGAGTCGCTTAAAAGTCTCTAACGTATCTGACTCTGCTACCACTGCGGGCAGTGCATTCCACACGCCCACCACTCTCTGTGTAAAGAACCTACCTCTAATATCTCCCCTATACCTTCCTCCAATCAACTTAAAATTATACTTCCTTGTATTAATCATCTCTGCCCTGGGAAAATGTCTCTGACTATCCACTCTATCTATGCCTCTCATCATCTTGTACAACTCTATCAAGTCACCTTTCATCCTTCTTCGCTCCAATGAAAAAAGTCCTAATTCCCTCAACCTTTCATCATAAGACCTGCCCTCCAGTCCAGGCAGCATCCTGGTAAATCTCCTCTGCACACTCTCTGAAGCTTCCACATCTTTCCTATAATGAGGTGGCCAGAACTGAACACAATATTCCAAGTGTGGTCTAACCAGAGTTTTATAGAGCTGCAACATAATCTCACGGCTCTTAAACTCAATTCCCCTGCCAATGAAAGCCAACACGTCTTACGCCTTCTTTACAACCCTATCAACTTGGGTAGCAACTTTGAGGGATCTATGGACATGGACCGTAAGATCCCTCTGTTCCTCCACACTGCTGAGAATCCTGCCATTAACCCTGTCTTCTGCATTCAAATTCCACCTTCCAAAATGAATCAATTCACACTTTCCGGGATTGAATTCCGTCTGCCACTTCTTTGCCCAGTTCTGCATCCTGTCAATGTCCCGTTGCAACCTACAACAGCCCTCCACGCTGTCCACAATTCCACCAACATTTGTGTCATCGGCAAACTTACTAACCCACCCTTCCACTTCCTCATCCAAGTTATTTATAAAGATCACAAAGAGCAGAGGTCCCAGAACAGATCCTTGCAGAACACCACTAGTCACCGAGCTCCAGGCTGAATACTTTCTATCTACTACCACACTCTGTTTTCTATTGGACAACCAATTCTGTATCCAGACAGCCAGATTTCCCTCAATCCCATGCCTCCTTACTTTCTGAATGAAACATTTGAGAGCTCCGTTCAACAGTCTGCAAACACAGGGAAGAAGTTGTTCTTGAATCTGTTCACACCTGTATTCAAACTTTTACACCTTCTGCCCAATGGAAGAGGATGGAGGAGAGTATTACTAAAGTGGGAGGGGTCCTTGGTTATGTTTGTTGCTTCTGTAGGCAGTGGGAATTATAGATAGAGTCGTTGGATGCAAGGCTGGTTTGTGTTATGGTCTGGGCTGTTCTCACAACTCTCTAGGGGTCCTGGGAAGAGCAGTTGCCATACCACACTTTCTCAGATGCTTTCTTTGGTGTGTCTATAAAAATTGGTCAGAGTATTTGTGGAAATGCCAAATTTCCTTAGCCTTCTGAGGAAGTAGGGACATTATTGTCCTTTCTTGAACAGTCGAATTGACAAGAGTGCACTAGGACAGATCGTTGATGATTATCACTCCCATGGGGTTGACATTCTGCACCATCTCCACCTCAGCACTATTGACACAGACAGGGGCGTGCCCACCACTCCGCTTCCTAAAATCAGTGAACAGCCGATTCGTTTTGCTGATGTTAATGGAGAAATTGTTGTCTTTACACCATGCTGCTAAGCACTAAATTTCTTTCCTCGTCGTTGTTTTGAGATCTGACCGACAATGTTGGTGTCATCAGCAAACTTGTAAATGGAGTTGGGGCAGAATTTGGTCACACAGTCGTGAGTGTATAAAGAGTACAGTAGGGGTTAGTCCAAGCAGCCTTGTGGGACACTGGTGTTGAGGATTATCGTGGAGGAGATTTGTCGATTAGTTTTACTGATTGCAGTCTATGAGTCAGGAATTCAAGGATCCAGCTGCAGAATGGGGAGCCAAGACCTAGGTCTCAGACTTTGGAGATGAGTTTGTTTGGAATTATGGTGTTGAAGGTGTAGCTGTAGTCAATAAGTAGGATCCTAGCATCTGCATCCTTGGGTCAAGGCAGCACGGTGGCTCAGTGGTTCACACTGCTGCCTCACAGCACCAAGGCACTCGGGTTCAATTCAAGCCTTGGGTGACTATCCGTCTGCATGGAATTTGCACATTCTCTCTGTGGCTGCATGGCTTTCCTCCATGTGCTCCACTTTCCTCCCACAGTCCAAAGATGTGCAGGGTTGGTGGATTGGCCATGTTAAATTGTCCATGATGTCCAAAGGTGTGCAGACTGGGGGTTAGCCAAGGGAAATTCAGGGCTACAGGGAAAGGGTAGTGGGTGGGTCTGGGTGGGATGCTTTTCAGAGGGTCAGGGTGGACTCAATGGGCCGAATGGCCTGCTTCCCCATTGTAGGGGTTCCATAATTCTATGAGATGCCATCTGCAGTGGATGTGTTGCGCCAGTAGGCAAATTACAAAGGATCAAGGCAATCTGGGAGGATGGAGTTGACATGAGCCATGACTAACCTTTCGAACCACTCCATAATTGTGAAAGTCAGAGCCACCAGGCAGTAGTCATTGAGGCACGCTGCATGATTTTTATTTGGCACTGGAATGATGGCGATCTTCTTGAAGCAGGCGGGGACTTCAATTCGAAGTAAGGAAAGGTTAAAAATATCAACGAATATTCCTGCCAGCTGTTCTACACAGGATCTGAATGCATGGCTGGGACTCCAATGGGGCTTTCCATAGGTTCACGCTCAACATTTAATGTCTGCCTAATGTCAGTGACATTTCCTTGAAAACCTTAAATGTTGTGAGATAAAGGTTTAATTGTGATAGTCAACTCTGTCGTTCAACTTTGTTTGAGGAAGACAGTATCAAGGCCCAGATATAAGCCAGTCTATCTTTCCATTTCCACTCGTCCCTTCCAATTACCTTTGAACCAGTCAATCTCTCGAGGCCACTGCCTCAGTGACTGCCTCCCATTTATCATGAATAATGTCCAACATCTTCATATTTCACTTGCAGGTCCCTGTGTTGTAAAGTTATTGACATCAAGAAGGTCGTGCCCTAGTGGTCAGTTTGCCACTCAGAGCTCTTGAGTTTATATTATCCACTATCAGATGAATATGGCTGAACTAGTGTAGGAAATCATTGACTTAGCAATGACTGTATGCTGCTGAAATTAGCACTTTCCAAAACCTCTGAGTTTGTGATCTTGTCCTTCCAAGAGATGCTGAGGATACATCTGAGATAGTGAAGGGGGAAACAGTTCAATCTTTTGTCCTACCAAGCAACTGTTGTCCCATTCTTCCCACTATAGAAGAGTACTTTGAGGCATGGTAACTTGTAGTTTGGTTTTCTCAGACAGGTTGTTGTTGTAACATATCCTCAACATCTATACAAGATCTGTAACTATTGTGCTGTACACAATGATTTCAGTGTCAAGTAATACATTGCTGCTGCTTGTGAAACCTAGAACTGTGAAGCTAGAAAGATCCTGTGGTGTCACATTTCCAATGCTGGCAGGTGGCAGTTAAGCCATGTCTTGGGACATGACCTTTACTTCCCTGATGTTGGTGGTCTAACTCAAACTCTTCACAGGCATGAGAGTGTCTGTTTATTTGCCCTGGTGCATTCTTGTTGATGCTACTGTTCAAGAAAGGACAATAATGTCTCTACTTCCTCAGAAGGCTAAGGAAATTTGGCATTTCCACAAATACTCTGACCAATTTTTATAGACACACCAAAGAAAGCATCTGAGAAAGTGTGGTATGGCAACTGCTCTTCCCAAGACCCAAGAGAGTTGTGAGAACAGCCCAGACCATCACACAAACCAGCCTTGCATCCAATGACTCTATCTATAATTCCCACTGCCCCAGAAGCAACCAACATAACCAAGGACCCCTCCCACTTTGGTGATACTCTCCTCCATCCTCTTCCATTGGGCAGAAGGTGTAAAAGTTTGAATACAGGTGTGAACAGATTCAAGAACAACTTCTTCCCTGTGTTTGCAGACTGTTGAACGGAGCTCTCAAATGTTACATTCAGAAAGTAAGGTCATTCATAAAGTAAGGAGGCATGGGATTGAGGGAAATCTGGCTGTCTGGATACGATGATGTCCACATCCTGTGAACAAATGAAAACAAGGACTAGTGGTATCAGTTAAAATTGGAGCTAGACATTTAAGGACTGAAATTAAACAACGCATATGTACATAGGGTGGCAGAGGTTTGGAGCTATTTTTCAATGAATGGCAACTGGGGCTATATCAATGGATTAAAACTGAGATTAATGCAGCTTTCTTAAAGTATGGTGTTAAGGGATTTGGGTTAAGGGCAGTTTATGTAGTTAGGTAGATCTGTGATGATTTCATTGAATGACAGGACTGCCGAGAAGGGCTGAATGGCCCTTCTTGTTCTCATGTCCCCATATTACCAGCAGACAAGGGAATTACCAGGTCTATCTTTTCCTCACCCGGGACTCTCATTGGCGGGGACCTTGGAGCTCGGATCCTTGGTGATGTTTTCTCTGTTCCCTATACCAGAACACTGAGTTTGAACATAGCCAATGAGTGAGTGTGTGAGTGACTGTGTGAGGTTTCAGAGACGGTGACAGAATGGTCTATAATTCCCAGCCTCATCTCTCTCTCTCTCCTTCTCACTGCCTCCTGCCTCAGACCAATTGAATGAGCCCAGGACAAGGATCTGAGCCGAGATCTCCCGGACCAGGTGGAGCCTGTTCCCATTGAGCTATCAGGGCAATGACACCATCCGGACATTGCACCTTACCTTTCACTTCCAGTTTTGTTCCTTTCCCAGTTCCAAAATTGTCAATGTTGAGCTCTACACGACACCGATAGGAACCCTTATCCTCCTGGCCCAGTCCGTCTATTATTATTGAGGCATCTTTGTTGCTGAGGTTCCCCACGAATCTGAATCGGTTTCCACCGTCCCGCTGTATCACATTCTCACACAGCTCACCCTGGGAATGATATGCACATTTAAAGATAACATCTTTGTTCTGATTTTTCCATATCACGGAGCCGGTGAGTGTGAGATCAGTGTCTGGGTGGGTGAAGCTGCAGGGTAAAACAGCGGAGCCTCCTTTCTCAGCCCTCACTCTGTCCGCGATTGTCATTGACCAACCATTTTCAGAATCCGCTGTGAGGGGAGAGAAACAGAGAGAGAGAGGACATGAACACAGCAGGAGAACAGATGACAGTGATTTCAAAAAATTAAACCGCAAAACAATGGCTGAAATCTTTTGAGGAGCACGATGCACTTTGGCATTGCTGCTGTATGGCGGGGACTTCCGACCCCGGCCTCTTCACCCTACAGAGTGCACCTTATATTGAAGCCTTTCTCCAGAGCGATGGACTAACCACACCAACTGTTTATAGCTCTGGCCAGGAGCTCAACTTACATTCACTAACACAAGTGAAAAACATGGAGACATTTCAATGGCTTCTGAGCGTGTTTACCAATGAATGCGCAGGTGAATGTATAATTGGTGAAATGGGTAGGATGAGAGTTAAGTGGGCAAGGGGGTAATTTAGGTGGTGTAAGTAGGTTGAGCAGCACTCGGTAGGGAGGCAGGTGGTACCATTACCCAACAGCAACAAGGGTGAGATTGTAACTTGAGGGGATCAACAAGGTTGGAGAAACAAGGGACCAAACACAGGGATGGAAAATATATTCATGAATGAAATGCAACAATCTCATGGTGAGAAGGGGGGCTGGAGTTGCATGGTGAGTTGCAGGTAGTCAGATGGTGTCAGCAGTCTACACATAGTGAGGAAAGTTTAAAAAATGATATCAGGATAAAAGATCCCCGAGAAAAGAGTAACCATAACGTCAAAGAATTTAGCATTCAGTTTGAGAGTCAGAAATTCTGCTAAATTCAAATAAGGGTAATTAGATGGGATTGAGGGTAGAGTTGGTTGGAGTGGATGCAGAAAGGAATTTAGCAGAAAATATGGTTGAAGAATAATAGCAGATGTTTAAAAAATGTTCGTGATTCACAGCAAAGATATATCCAGTGAGAAAGAAGGATTCTAGAAAGCGGAATAAGCCAACTATTGTTAGCCAGGGAAGTTAATAACAGTAACAAATTGAAAGGAAACAAACACACAGTGTGGCAAAAATTATTTGTAAATCAGAGGATTGGTAAAGTGTTAAAAGCCAACAAAAGAAATCCAAAAAATATAAAGATAGAGAAAATAAACAATGAGGGCAAAATCGCAAGTAACATAAACACAGACAGTAAAAGCTTCTTTACATATATAAAAAGAATACAAAGACAAAGAGAGCTTAGGCTCCTTAGATGACTATGCTGGGAAAATAGCACTAGAGAACCAGTAAATGGAACAAGAGTGGGACATTAATCTTCATAGTAGAGTACATCAATGGTATTCCAAAAATACTAAATGTTCAAGAGGCTAAAGGGCAGGAAGAAATAAACACAATAACTATCACTAGAGAAAGATGTATTTGGGAAACTAATGCATCTCAAGACCTGTATCCCCTGGACCTTTTTATTTTATTCATTCACAGGATGATGGCATTGCTGACTAGGCCAGCACCTATTGCTCATCCCTAATTGCCCAAGGGCAGTTAAGAGTCAACCACATTGCTGTGGGTCTGGAGTCACAGGTAGGCCAGACCAGGTAAGGATTATAGTTTCCCTCCTTAAACAAGATTAGTGAACCAGATGGGGTTTTTCTTCTGAAAATTAACAATGGATTGCTGGTCATCATTCAACTTTTAATTCCAGATTTGTTTATCGAATTCAAATTCCATTATCTGCCATGGGCACCCAGAACATTCCCTGAGTCTTTGGATTAACAGTCCAGTGATAATACCACTAGGCCAGTGCCACTTGATGGATTGCATCCCAATATTTTAAATAAAGTAACTGCAGAGATAGGTATTCATAGTTATCGTCCAAGAATCCTAAGATTTGCAAAATGTCCCAAAGGATTGGGCTACTGCCAATGTAAAACATTTAATCAAAAAGTAAGGGAGACAAACAATCAGGTTACTATAGAACAGTAAGCTTAACATCTGTTTTTGGGAATATGTTAGAATAATATAAAGCATGTAATAGCATAATATCATCAAGCAGAGTCAATATGGCTTCATGAAGGGAAATTATACCTGAAACATTTATTACAGTTTTTGAGGAAGTAACAAACAGTATAGATAATGGGGAAGCAGTAGATGTAATATATTTGGATTTCTAAAAGACATTCATTACCAAGGTACTAGATAAGCCTGCTGAATAACATAAGAGCCCATAATGTTGGGTTTAGTATATTAGCATGGATAGAGGATTGGCTAACTAATAGAAGAAAGAGAATTGGATAAAGGCAGTGTTTTTAGAATGGCACTTTTTTAGAATAAACTGTAACTAGTGGAGTGCCACAGGAAACATATAAATATAGGAACAGAAGTTGGTCATTCAGCCCCTCGAGCCTGCGCCACCACCCAATGAGATCATGGCTGATCTGTGCCCTAACTTCATGTATCTGCTTTTGGCCCACATCCCTGAATACATTTACTTACCAAAAATTTATCTAACTCAGACTTAAAATTAACACCTGATCTAGTGTCTGCTTCTATTTGTGGAAGAGAGTTACAAACATCTACTACCCTTTGTGTATAGAAGTGCTCCCAAACATCTCTCCTGAATGGTCTGGCTGAAACTTTCAGATATGCCCCCATTTCTAGAATTCCAAACCACTGGAAATAGTTTATCTTTATCTTCCCTGTCTTTTCTTTTTACTGTCTTGAAGACTTTGATTAAATCACCTGCTCAATTCGAGAGAAAACAGAAAAAATTGTATAATTTTTCCTCACAACTTAACTCCTGAGCCTGGGTATCACTCTTATAAGCCTACATTGTAGGTGCTGGGATTATAAAATTGTTTGTATGTTTAATGATTTAGATGGTGGAAGTGAATGTTAAGTTTACAGATGACCCAAAAATCGGTTGGAAGGCAAATACTGAGGATGACAGAAGAAGGTAATGATGCTTGTTTGAAGAGCTGGTGTAGACATGGTAGACCAAATAGCCTTCTTCTATACTGAATTACATCTGTGATTCTGTGACATCTGAGGGGCTCCTGACACTTATGGTCATACATCCAGTCTCTGTACAGTCACAGACTTGAAGATCTGAGCTAATATTTAAAAGCTTTTCTGAAGAAGGGTCCAGACCCGAAACGCCAGCCTTCCTGCTCCTCTGATGCAGCTTGGTCTGCTGTGTTCATCCAGCTCTACACCTTGTTATCTAATATTTAAAAGACTGTGTTTATTTGTGCCACAACATTAGGCGTGCACTTCTTGTGGATATGCAGAGGTATGTCAGCTACAGAAAGGTAGCAAGGCCTTTTAACATAGCTGGTGTCTTATAACTCATTTACCATTTGCAAACAGATGAGCAGCCACAGTGAAATTTCAAGATGCAATCTGAAACACAATATGTTTAACTGTTCCCCTAAATCTTCTGTCCGTTTGTCATTATTATTAAAATTCTCATGAGAGATACAGCAGAACTTTGCTTTCTTAATTGAGCAGTTGCAGATGTTATCAGACTAACTCAGGTGCATCAGAATGAAACAGTTATTCCATTGTGCATTATTTACTGTTTTCTACAGGTGAATATATCCTTCAATTGCTGAAAATCTACCAGAAAATCTCTTTTTCACTCTTGTACCACAACATTGGCTTTTATTCACCACAATTGTTCACCATTTTGGAAAAATAAAATGTTTTTTTAAAAATCATTACCCAATGTGGGACCTAAGGTATCTTGGATTAAGAGCCTCATTATCTACCAAATAAGCAAACCCGTGCTGTGCAGGAATTAGGATTTATATATAAACATAGAAACTAAGAAGAGGAGTAGGCCATTTAGCACTTTAAAATTGCTTGCTACTCAATATGATCAGAGCTAATGCTTTATCTCACTTCTATATTTGTGCTTTCTCCCCAAATCACTTGGTATCTTTAAAACACCAAAAAATATATTTCTTTCTTAATTATGTTCAGTGACTTGGCCTACACATTCTCCTGCGGGAGAGAATTCCACAGATTCACTATCTTTTGAGTGAAGAAATACTTCCTCAGCTCAGTCCTAATTGGTCTACGCCATATCCTGAGACTGTGTCCCCTTGTTTAAAATTATTTTGGAAGGGGTCGGAGAATCAAGAATTCGAGAGAAACAAGGTACATAGAATATTTGAGAGAACAGATTGCACAAGACTATGAAGTAAATGGGATCAGAGAAAGAGTATAAATAATAAATTCAAAGACGAGGTTACTGTCTCTGTAATTGAATGCATGGAGAGTGGTAAACCAGATTGGCGAGTAACCAATGCAGATTTCAATTGGAAATATGATGTCGTGGTGATAACAGAATCCTAGTTCAAAGATGGGGTAGGACAAAGTACTAAATATTCTTCAATAGAATATGTTCAGGAAAGATAGAGTTAGTGAAGGTAAGAGGTGTGGCAGTATTGATCAAGGAAAACATTGCAGCACTGGAGAGAAATGATGTCTCAGAGGGGTCAAGGGACAGAATCTATTTAGCTAGAGCCAATGAACAAAATGGTGCAATTACATTGTTCAGCGAAATTTATAAGCAACAAACTCATGGGAAATTTGCAGAGGAACACATGCAAGAGTGCAAGAATTCTAGAATTATAATAAGGGTGGGGGAACTAATTATTCAAATATAAACTGGGATGTATACAGGAGAGAAAAGGGCAGGAATTCCTTCAGTGCATTCAGGAGAATTTTCTATGTTGGTTATGTGTTTAATCCACTAAGAAAGCAGGCGTTGCTGGACTGGTTCTTGAGATTGAGCGAGATCAACTGGATCAGGAAACAGTAGGAAACATTTAGAAGATAGTAATCATTATTTAGTAAGGTTTAGGTTAACTATGGAAAGGTCCAACGAGTAAGTAATTCTGATTAAGAGTGGCCAAATGGGGGAAGGCAAATCAATGCGGTGAAAATGAATCTGGCCCACACAAAGTGGATTTAAGGATTGGTGAACCAAACTGTGACTAAATAATAGGCTAGCTTCAAAGAGGAGCTTAAGTACTGGTCAAGGTATTTTCTCTTTAGGGGAAAAGGTACGGCAAATAAATCCAGAG